TATATTCCGATGTACATCGCATTGATGTCAATTTTAAATATCTTTACAACAAATTAAAATAAAATTGAAACTGTCGGATAACAGAGATGAGCGCGCAAGCCGCGACGATGACCACAAGTAGCGGTAAGAATCAGCAGGAGACCAAGCCACAGCCTCCACCCGAGCCGAGTGACCCGATACCTCCACCACCTCCGCCCAAAATATCGAGCCCCAGTCCGCCACCACCTCCACGTATTTTTGCCGAGGATCTCAAACAAGGAAAGAAACGCAAGAATAGTCCCGAGCGTTCTGAACGTAAGTGTATCTATACTAAATAATTAATTTTTGGTAAGAAAAAAAAATTACTCCAAGTTTTTTCTGTACATGCAGACGAAGAAGATTCAAAAGATCCCAAAAGGGGACTCGAGCCTCTACCACCTGGAGTTGATTCTCCTGAGGTCGCGTACACATTGCCAGCATCAGCCCTTGAAGCTGGTGTGCTGTACGGAGCACAACAGACCAACCCGATCTATGCGGCTACTTTGGCTGGTGCCGCGGCTGCAGCCGGTATACCTCTTTTACAGCATCACCATCATCACCACCATACTGCACTAATGCAGGGTCAGCTGGTGCATTATAATTCGGCTTATCATCAGCATTTGCACAACGTAAGTATGGACTACATATGTGTCATAGAAAGTGTTTATAGTATTGCAATTGATAATTTTTCTTGGTTACAGCAAGCCTTGGTGGCAGCAAGATTGACGGGACAGGAAGCAGTGCAGTTCATGGTCGCAGCCGAGTATGCTAGGGTGTATGAAAACAACCAGGTGATTGCCAAGCCACCGGTCAAGATGACCCAAGAATCATCCATGGGGTCAGCCCTCAATTCTTTTTATAGTGATATAGCATCAATCGAACATACTGCTGAGACTGAAAGAGAAAGAATTGAGGCTATAGCCAATGTACCCTCGCCTGTACCTCAAGTACCTCATACAGAGGTCGATGCTGTCGTTTTGGAGGCGATGAAGGAGAAGAAAAAGAAGAAGGTAATATTTCACAAGTTAACGCTGCCGAGATACAGCCAAATATTGTCACTTTTTGATGAATTTCAAACATTGATTCGTATAATTTCAGATGAAGACTGGAATAGGTAAGAAGCAAAAGGAAATGTCGAGTATGGTGGCAAAATGGCAGAGGGCCCAGAAGAACTATAAAGATTAATTGAGCTTTATTCCATGCCCACGATCGCGTTAATTTTTGTATATAAAAAGTAAAGAACTGTAATTTTACTATTTTGTAATTGCGCTTAACATTATGTATAATATATAATATTTAAACACTTTGGTGTATTAATTATTACTGTACAGCACAATTATTAAGTTATAATTAATGCTCTTGTAAAAATAAATAATAAATCTTATGTATAAAGTAACTGGATCTCATTTATTTCGTGCCTCCAAATAAAGATTACGCTCGACTTCAAGTATGATTTCGCTTCATGCAAATTAAGTAAACTTATGTTACAATTCATGAAATAAAGTTTTGCAGTTGATGTTTGCATCAAGTAAAACAATGTCTCACCGGCATCGTAACAATTATGTGTACAATTAATGAAAGTTTTTTTTTTTTTTTTTTTTTTTTGTAAACCTCCATCTAAAAACTACATTAAAATTAACTATTTTTTTTTTACGACGAATTGTCAGTTGTGCTCTCATGTAGTGCTCTATTTTGTTTCTGTTGGGTTGTGCTCGGGCACCACTGCGCTGTGTAGGTCGCATAAACGCTACTATTACCGGAACGTATCGACTGGTGAAGCCCAATGGACCTATCCCGTGACTGACATCGCTGGTGGCACCGAGGAAATGGACCTGTGTACCACACCACCACCACCTGAGCACGAAGAGACGCCCATTATAGGTGAGTTTTTCCATTGTTTTTGTTAACATTTTTTTAAATAGTTTTAATTTAATGCGGTATTTTCAAAGAGACAATTTTTTGTTACATCCGCAAGAATACGTTTTGATTTAAAAAAAATTATTGTTATTTGATCGAAAATAACCATGAATTTTACGAATAGATCTGCAGTTTTGATTTATTACAATCATTAAGTATCCAAAATCTCCTGTTTAATATGCAGTATTTTATAATTATTTGTCGTTCTTTAATAGTCAAGCCT